AGAGCCCACATGTCCAAACTAACACGCTAACCAACTAACTAATGCTGTGACCAACCTAGACAGCATATTAGAAAGCAAAGACATTAGTTTACCAACAAAGGTCTGTCTAGTCAAAGCTGTGGTTTTTCCAGTAGTCATGTATGGATGTGAGAGTTGGACTATAAAGAAAGCTGAGCGCCGAAGAATTGATGCTTTTGAACTGTGGTGTTGGAGAAGACTCTTGAGAGTCCCTTGGACTGCAAGGAGATCCTAAAGGAAATCAGTCCTGAATATTGGAATATCATTGGAAGGACTGATGCTGAAGCTGAAACTCCAATACTTTGGCCATCTGATGCAAAGAACTGACTCATTGGAAAAGTCAGCATCAGCACCACCCTGATACTGGGAAAGACTGAGGGCAGGAGGAGAAGGGGACGGCAGAGGATGAGATGGCTGAATGGCATCACTGATGTGATGGACATGAGTTTTGAGTTGGCTCCAGAAGTTGGTGATGGACAGGGAAGCCTGGCATGCTGCACTCCATGGGGTCGCAGAAAAGAGTCGGACACGACTGAGCAACTGAACTGAACACATCCTCTGAAGCAGGCGTTAACAGGTTCAGGAATCATTTATGGATTGTGCTAAAATGCAGATTCCGTCTCAGGTGGTCTGGGGTGGAGCTTGTGAGTGTTACTAACAAGTTCCCAGAAGATACCCACGCCTCCTGTTTGTAGGCACTCTACACGTTGTTGGGAGTAATGCTAACGTGAATGCCAAGGGGAGTTGTTAGACCTTTCTTGAAGGTGATAGTGTGTCTGCTGACATCTGCATCCCTTTTGTTTTCCCCACAGCGCACATCTCTCTAGACCCCCGGACTTCCCACCCCAAGCTCCTGCTGTCCGAGGACTACCAGCAGGCTCGTTTCTCCTACAAGTGGCAGAAGTCACCGGACAACCCCCAGCGTTTTGACCGGGCCACCTGTGTCCTGGCCCACGGTGGCTTCACAGAGGGCAGACACACGTGGGTGGTCAGTGTGGATTTGGCTCACGGGGGCAGCTGCACCCTGGGCGTGGTCAGTAGGGACATCCGCCGGAAGGGGGAGCTGCGGATGCGGCCAGAGGAGGGGGTGTGGGCGGTGAGACTGGCGTGGGGCTTCGTCTCAGCCCTGAGCTCCTTCCCCACCCGCCTGACCCTGGAGGAGCAGCCCCAGCAGGTGCGGGTGTCCATCGACTACGAGGTGGGCTGGGTGACCTTTGCCAACGCCGTCACCCAGGAACCCATTTACACCTTCACTGCCTCCTTCACCCAGAAGGTCTTTCCCTTCTTTGGGCTCTGGGGCCGAGGGTCCAAGTTCTCCCTGAGTTCCCAAGAGGGTGCAGATACCCTATCCTAAGCACAGGGCTCAAAGAGAGGATGTAAGGACTTGACCCTGGATGGGTCACCTGAGATTTGAAATGACTGCTTTAGATGATGTGATAGAGTTGGGACTTTGGAGAGGCACAAGGTGGGATGACCTTCAGTCTGCTGATCAAGCCCTTTCCTCAATGCTGAGTGGATGGGACTCAGACCACTGCCAGCCCTCCTCACCCCCATCCCCACCAGGCACAGAAGTACTGTGTAAGAGGTAGAAATACTGGATTTGAGTGAGGAAGGCTTGGATTCTAGACCCAGCCTTGTAATCAACTTATTATATGATCTTAAACTAGGCATCTCACCTCTCTTCATCTTGTTTTCTCCCCTAAAATATTAGAGTTCATCTACTCATATCCTTAGGAAATATTTGTTGTGTGCTAATTATGAGCCAAGCAGTATGGTAGCCACTGGTGACATGAAAAGGAAAAGAAACAAATAAACAATAAAATCCCCACAAAACTTGTCCTGTATCTGAAGGAGGTCATGAGAAGAGACAGAGATATAAGGAGGAAAGGAGAGCACAGTGTTGTGATACAAGTCTGATCTGGGCACTAGGACAGCCCAGAGTAGGGGTATAACCCATTAAGAGGCAGGAGGTGAGTCAGGGATGGCTTTCTAGAAAGGGGAAGTCTAAAAGATGGGTACAGTGGGACTTCCCTGGCAGTCCAGTGGTTAAGACTCCACGCTTCCAATGCAGGGGGTGTGGGTTCAATCCCTGGTCAGCAGACTAAGATCCCACATGCCTCAGGGTGTGGACAAAAATAAATAAAGAAATAAAACCAAAAGATGATTATAGTGAATGAGGAAAAAAGGGGAAAAAGCATCTTAGGGAGAAGGGGCGGCAGCAAAGTGGATGGATGATCTGTGACCCATGGGACATTGGGTCATTTGCATTGTCCTCATGAGCTGACTGTGCGTGACACCCATCCCTGACACCACTCAATGCCTTCTTGTGGCTGAGATGAAAATGCAGGGCCTTGGTGGGAAGGGGTCAGGGAAGTTGTGGACATAAGCCACAACCCGAGGTCCACACTCATCCCCTGGAAAATCAGGAAAATCCTCTTCCTGATCTGTTGATCACCACCTGACATTGAGAAATGAGACGAAAGGAATAAGATGGTGAACAGGAATAAGTCCCAAATAGCTCAGCTGTGGGAGCAGAGATAGCACCATCATAAACTTTGTACTGGGGAAGGAATCTCAGACAGAGGCAGGGAATGAATTGCCCAGATGGAGTTACAGAGGGGGACCCATGACTTGTAGCCCAAAGCACTGGGACTGCTCCAAGGCTGGATAAGAAGTGTCATCTGAGGGACTGGGCAGAAGAAGGGAGAGAATCAGGACTTTGTAAAGATGTGTGGATTTGGGTAGAGACCTTGTAGGGGAGCAGGTTGTATTGGCAGAAGCTGTGGCTGCATGTGGTGTGAAGAAGCTGAGTGTTCATGACCCCAGAAGCCACCCTGCCTGGTGCTGGTTCAGGGACAAGAACTAACACGTGGCTGCCTTCAGTTTGTAAGGTGATTTCTGTCATTCCAAGGAAGTTTAAATCTTATGTACAATAAAAGCATTGTCTTATATTTTATTTTTAGTTCTTGGTGGTGGTGTCACTTATTCTGCTTGAACATACCCTTCACTTTAATACTGTCTCTGTTGAATCTGCTCAGACATAAAGTAAAACATTCTATCATCTCCCCATTGGGGCCTCTCGGAGGAGCGAACCATCCAGGTGCAAACTCTAAGGGGAGATGAGCACAGTGTATTGAGGCCCGGGCTTAGAAGTCACCCCAAAAGTTCTGTTATTTACCCTCTTCTTTTTTTTCCTCTTTTGACCAAAAGGAGTATAGGATCTTGGTTCTCCAACCGGGGATTGAACCCAGGCCCACGGCAGTGAAAGCTGGCATCCTAACCACAGGACTGCCAGGGAATTCCCTGTTGTTTATCCTCAGTTTAGTGGTGGTTTAGTCACTAAGTTGTGTTCTTCTCTTGACACCCCAGGGGCTGTAGTCTGCCAGGCTCCTCTGTCCTTGGGATTCTCCAGGCAAGATACTGGAGTGGGTTGCCATTCCTTCTCCAGGGGATCTTCCCGACCCAGGAATTGAACCCAGGTCTCCTGCATTGCAGACAGATTCTTAGTTTAGCAAGTAGAAAACATGGGGAGATCAGGAGCGAGAAATTGGAAAATGAAGGTACAATTGGTTTTTCTGGGAGTGTTCAGTATTGCATGTAAAATGTGTAGTCAAAAAAAAAAAAAAGGCACATTCAAGTCCTTATATAATGGTAAAACATACCGCAATACCCAGACCTGAGATTCCACCAAAAAGTGGATTGTCTTTTTCTGTTTATTTTTCACTGGCTTTAGTTGTGTTTTTAAAAATGACTATTAGCCTCTAGGGTAAATGTATGAAGATCCCATTGTAAACAAACAAGATAGCATTGTAAAGCAATTATCCTCCAATTAAAATTATATATATATACATTAGAACTTAAAGAGAGATTCTGGCCTGTTGAAAGACTTTGCATGTATTATGTCACTTAATCTTAGTTACCCTGCCAGGTAGCTCCGATTATTATCTACCTTTTAAAGTTAAAAAAGCTGAGGCCTGGTGAATTTTGTGTACTTGCTCAGCCAAAATCATGCACCCAGGATTTTGATCTATGTCAGACTCAAGAGCTCTTAGCCACCAGCCTACCTTGTTCGGAAATGGGTCCCCCGGTAGGTGTGAATATTTTATTATTGGGCATGCTCTCAACAAGGGACTTGGATTCAGCAAGACAATTTATACTTCTTACACTGAGAATAAAACTGCTAGTGAGTGAAAATACTCATGTTGGTCTATCAGCACTTGCAGGGTAATTGAAGTTCATTTGTTTGGAGTGTGGACTCAGTGCAGAGGAAGTGGATCGATCCTAAAACACGGTGACTTCAAGATAAGGTAGCTCCACGAGCCTCCACGCTCTGCTTGTCACAGTCTGGTCTCAAGGTTCCCTCCTCCGGGAAGTTATGGAGTCCAGAGCCCCAAGCTCCCCATCACCCTCTCCAACACCCCAAAGGATTGTGCACATTTGTTGGGACATCCACACGTTTACGTGATTTTTTTACACTGTAGCAGCTCTTTCTATTAAAAGGAATGACAACTCACTCAAGTTAGTTCAAATAATAGGAAAGTTTATTATAAGATCGGACATGTAAATAAGGAAAATGCGACTTTTCCACCACTAACCAAGCTTCATGGGAAGCTATGGTGAGGTTGGTGGGGGGGACACAAGTAGTTCCCAAAGAAAGAACTGAAGATTTAAAAAATGTTAGTAATAATAACAAACACATATAGAGCTCACTCTGACCAGTCACTGTAAATAAATATTTTTTTATATATTAACTCAATTAATGATCACAACAACCCGATGAGGTAGGTATTATTAATAGTCCCATTTAAAAAAATAGTCCCATTTTATACATCAGACAAGTGAGACAGATGCAGGTTGGGTAACTGTTATTACTCACCCAAAGAAGTGATGCACAAATAATTGATATACAAAGGTAATTGATATACAAAGGTACTATTCATTGATCTGTATTTATTATATTATAGTTTCTGTGACATCTATTACCTCACAGTTTCTGTGGATCAGAAGTTTGGGTTCTCTGCTTGGGGTCTCATGAGGCTGCAATCAAGGTGTCAGCTGGGCTGGGTTCTCCTCTGGAGGCTCGACTGGAGAAAAATCCATAACCAAGTTCATTTAGGCAGTTGGCAGAATTAATTTTCTTGCAGCTGCCAAGACTGAGGGCCTCTGCTTCCTGTTGGCTGAAGGCTGGAGGCTGCTCTCAGCTCCTGGAGGCTGCCTCCTGGCCGCAGAGTCACTCACATCATCAATTCAGCAATGAGAATCTCAAGAGTGAGCATGTTAACAAGGAGGCATCCCATTTGTGTAAGGCAGTCCGTGAAGTGCCAGCCCATCCCCTTTGCCATATTCTGTTGATTAGAAGCAAGTCACAGGTTCTGCTCACACTCAGGGAGAAGGGATCACACAAGGGTATGAACACCATGAAGGGAGAGTCATGAGAGGTCACTGTAGAGTCTGTCCATCACAAAAACAATCAAAGTGCCAGGTGAGTGGTGCAGACATCAGGTGTTACAGGAGCTCAGAAGGAATGTTTCTTCCAACAGATGCGCGGGCTCCACATGCAGAGGTGGCCTCACCATTGTGAGCTCGTACCATCCAGACATCTGGATGCTCCCGTTTCAATATGAGATGGTGAGAGATGGATGCTACCATCAGTTCACAGGAAAACAGAGGTCTTGGATCCTGACCGCTACAGTGGGAGCCAGAGTACAAGCCTGGTTCAGGAGAGAGGCTGTGACTATTGTCCAGGGGTCCGAGGGTCAGGCATCAGGTCGCAGCTCTAGCGACGAGGAATGGAGGTCATGTTCAGGAGATGGCAGGTCTGAGGGGCCACTGGGCAGACCTAATGGGAGGCTGGACAGGTTGGGGGAAGGAGAGCCAGGAGGGTGAGGTGAGTCTGAGATGAGATGGCCCAGGGATGAAGAGGTCAGAGCCGCTGAGGATGGCTGGACAAGTGATTCGTTGATTCTTTTCTCTAAGTTGGGATAAATAGCCTCTAATTGCTCTGGAGCGCTCCTAGAAACAAAAAATCCTTCAGCATATTCTGTTGACTCTTCCACTGTCCATGTAGCATGAAGATGCAGGTTAAAGGAACAGTGGAACTCCTTGACCTTGAGAAAGCCCACTCACACATCTAGGTTGCTGTGGGTTTGTGTGTGGAAGCACATGTAGGAAGGGAGATGGGATAGCTCATACCTGTTCAATAGGTCACTAGCATCCTAGGGGAGAGAAGGAGTGAGAGTCACAATCGGTTCTTAGGTTCCTGTTCCCTCCAAGTCCCCTCCCCACCCCACTAGTGGGTGGCACTCAGGACTGCCACCTTGAGGACTGGAGGGGTGCACCCCTTCTGTGTACCCCGCTCTGCTGCACCAGCATTGGGCAGCCTCGGACAGGTCACCACCACGTGTCACAGAGAAGTCTCTTCTTACACCTCCCAGAGGGATACTACAGGTAGACTGCCCACTATCTGGGGAGAATTCCAGGCTGTGGAAGGCACCCCAGGATATGCACCTTCAGCAAGCTGGTGTCCAGTTTCTTGGCCATCCCCTCCAGATCAGTGACCAGGCTGCTGAGGTGGAGTAATGCCCTGGAGATGCCAGGCATTCTGGACAGCTCTGCTGACGCACCCTGCCGCTGGTCTGGCCACCACTGAGCAGGGGCATCCTGCTGTCTTCTGGTTTGGGGTTGCTGCTCCAGCTCAGCCTCCAGCCTGCGGGTCCCATGGTCTGCCTGAAACTCCAGAAAAGGAATTCTGTAAGATTTGATGTCAGAAGTCTCCACCTAGCCCTCGGCCTCTGAACATTGAGTGAGAATGCTGATTTCTCAGTCCTCCTCCCTTCATAACATTGACTCTATGTGTCATGGGTATTAAAGAGGCAGCCATGTTCTTCAAAAATGCAGGGACACCTTCTCCCCACCTAACACCCTTGTGAACTTCCACACGTGTCATGTTACACACACACATACACAGACTCTGCTATATCCTCCCACTGCCTTTCAACCCTCTCGGGTCATAAGGTGAGGAGAGACCCCACACTGAAGTGAGCAAGGGAGACAGAAAGGTAGACAGTGAGACAGAGAAAGAGACCTACGGTTTGCAGAGTAATTTTCAACTGATAGTCTGCTTGTCTCTGATTCTCACCTTGAACCAGGTGGAGCAGGACTGGCTTTCATTGACCATATAAACCACATGAAGTTCAGAGGGTTTGACTTGCCCCAGGCCACTCAGCCAACAAACCCCAAGACGGAGCCCAGCACCCATGTTTCCAGCCTCCAGGCCCTCCCCTGCAGCAGGCTGCTCCAGACAGACAGATGGCCAGATTGGAGTCCTTCCTGGGACTCTAAGAAACCCACCTTCATCGCCTGCAGTCTCTCCTCCTCCTGAGTTCTGAGTCGCTGGAGTTCACAGATGTCCTTTCTGAGCTTCCTGATCCTGCGGTTGAGTCGTTCCTAGGGAGACAGACATGCCTGATGGTCAGACCACGGGTAAGGGTGATGCCCAAGGAACACATGGTTGGGGGGTGAGGGCGGTGGGTGTCCTGATCCCAGGATGAGGCTAAAGGAAAATTCTGCCTAAAAAGAGGCAGCTTTCTATGTGTCATCCTAGAGGGAAGAAATACAAGAGTTTATTTAATGGATGATGATGATGAAAAGAGATTGTTTTTTTAAGCCTTACCTACACAGGAATAACAGATAGTAACAATCTTTTCTACTCTGACTTCAGGATGTTTTTCTCCCAACATCTAAAAGTTGCTGATCACTGGCAACTCTTTCTACTTCTCATCAACACGTGAAGCCAATCTAGCTAGAACTGACTTAGGAGATGCAAAGCCTCTGGCACCACTCCCCCAGCCCTGGCTGGGATGGACCAGAATCCTTTACTAGAGGTAAACCTGTAGCCCAGGAAGGCATGGGACCTCTCTCTTAATCTTAAATCATTGTCTGGATGGGTCACTGCATCCAGGAAACTAAGGATATAATGAATGATTTCAGTTTCTAAAAAATTTACTTTCAGGTTTTTGAAAAACAATGTAGGAAGCAAAAATAAACACAGCTGATACAGATATCAACACAGGCCTTTAATGACTCAAAATGGAAGAAAGGTACAGGGTGGGGGTGACAGCAAAAGATTCTGCAAACAATCTCCTTGTCATCCCTTTTTAGACTGGTGACAAAATGTATTTGCCCTACTAGATAAAAGGGCATATAAAGCTGTAGTAATAAAACAGTATGGTGCTGGGGCAAGAACATTTAGAAAATGAAAGAAGAGAGAGCTCAGGGAGAGACCCATGTTTGCAAAAGACTTTAAAAAGAAAAAGTGCAAAGAAATGAGTCACAGGTATGAAATGTACAGTGTGGAGGATATAGTCAGTAACTGTGTCATATCTTTGTATAGTGACATACTGTAACTAAACTTGTCCTGGTGATCATTTTGAAATGTATAGAGATATTGAATCACTATGTTGTGTAAGAGGAGCTAACATAACATTGCAGGTCAATTATACTTTCGAAATGAACAAACAGAAAAAAGGAATCAGATTTGTGGTTATCAGAGGTAGAGAATAGGAAGAGGGTGAATTGGATAAAGGCAGTCAAAAGGTACAAGCTTCCAGTTATAAGATAAATAAGTACTAGAGATGAATGTGCAACACAATAAATATAATCAACACTGCTGTATGTTATATATGAAAGTGGTTAAGAGAGTGAATCCTAAGAGTTCTGATCACAAGAAATTTTTTTTTTATTTTTTTAACTTTATATCTATAGGAGATAATGGATATTCACCAAACTACTGTAATAATCATATTGCTATGAATATACATCAAATCTTACACTGTACATCTTAAACTTTTATACTACTGTTTGTCAATCATATTTCAATAAAACTGAAAGAAAATAAAATAAAAAGTAGTATATATATCAGTAAAAGAAGAGACAAAATCTGTAGGAGATGGTGTTGAGAAACTGGCTTACAACAACAGAGAAAATTAAAGCCAGATGCCTATCCAGAACTCTAGATGGACTAAAGATTGCATGAAAGGAAAACTATAAAGTTAATAGAAAATAATGCTAAAGAATAAATTTGTGGCCTGGGGGTAGGGAAAAATTGTCTTAAATAAAACCCCCAAAGCACAAACCATGAGACAATGATTTAACTTGATGACCTTAAAAATTAAGTATTTCTATTCAATAACACCACTATGGACAAAACTAACAGAGAAATGACAGACTAGGAGATAATATTTGCAATGTCTAAAACCAACAAGAGACTTATTATATACAGAACATCAAAGGCAAGCCTAGGGAATTCCCTGGTAGTCCAGTGGTTGAGATTCAGTGCTTTCACTGCTGTGGGTCTGGGTTCAGTCCCTGGTTGGTGAACTAAGATCCCACGAGTTGCACAGTGCAGCCATAAATACATAAATAAATAAATAAAAGGAAAGCTGAGAAATAAATAAGAAGACAGGAAACCAAAAGAAAAATTTGGAAAGAATATGAACTGTTAATTTACAGAAGAAGGGATGCCCAAACTCATCAGTGATTAGAGAAATGGAAATTAATACAATGGAATATTACTTGACCCTCATCAGATGAATAAAAATTAGACAATTGGATAATGCCTGGGGGAGGAGGGATGTATGTGGGTGTAAGAACCACACTGCAGGCTCGTGAGATGTGCACTGGCATAGCATTCTGTTGAGGGTCTTGGCCACCTAGGTGTGTTTTCCTCTATGATCCGGTGGTCCCGTTTATGGATAAAAATCCCAGAGAATTCCTCACTCAGGTTCTAAGATAATGTGTACGCTACAACACTGTTTGTGGTAACAGAGTTGGAATCACATAAAGTCCATTCCTGTGAAATGGATGGGTAAAATGAGGAAGGTGCCTGCTGCGGAACACTATGCAGCTATCAGAAACAATGGACCATGTGACCCACAAAACGTGAACTGATCTCAAATTCATGGTAGAATGGAAAGCAAGAAGTAGAGACTTCCCTGGTGGTCCAGTGGTTAAGACTCTGCACTTCCACCACAGAGGGCATAGGTTCAATCAATACCTGCTCAGGAATTAAGATCCCACAAGGGGCCCAGTTGAGGGGGAAAGAAGGGGTGGGGTAAAGAAATAGAATGAGTCCCATCATGTAATTTTGTTAATTCAATATATGAACACACAGTGCAGCAATGTGTGTTTTGTAAACCGTCTACAAATAAAAATATAACAAACACTAAGTAGTTACCCATGGAAGAAAAAGGAACAGTGATTAAATTAAATGGAACAAACAAAACAAAAACGGGATTTGTGGACTAAAGATAGAAAGTGAAAGTCGCTCAGTCATGTCTGACTCTGTTACCCTGTGGACTATACAGTCCATGGAATTCTCCAGGCCAGAATACTGTGCAGACCATGGGATTCTCCAGGCCATGATACTGGAGTGGGTAGCTATTCCCTTCTCCAGGAGATCTTCCCAACCCAGGCATCAAATCCAGGTCTCCCACATTGAGGGTGGATCCTTTACCAACTGAGCCACAAGGGAAGCCTGGACTAAAGGTAAGAGTGTGCTATTAACCAAAGAGTGTGTGTTTCAGTGAGTAAATCCATCTCAACTCAGGTCAAAAAAAAAAATGGGGGAGAGGGGATTTTGTTGTTGTTGGCTGTTCATGGGGGATATTTCTTTCTTTTTTTCCCCTGTCATTTTGCTTCACTTCCTCTTCGGAAAAGAAGTGTCTTGCATCACTGGAGACGTACAGGAGGATGGGGTTGGACAAGATGACTTTGAAAGTTCTTTCTGGCCCTGAGATTCAGAAGATGGAACCAAAGTCAAGGGTCTAGGGGTGAGACATCAGCAAGGACATTCATGCAAACAAAGAGTAAGCAGAAGAGACAGTGATGTCACTAGGAAATTGTTAAAAATTTGTCACGTCACTGGGTGTTACCTGCATGCATTTCCCAGCAGAGAAGGGATAAAACAGAAGGAAGGGCATGTGAATTTCACTCAGGGGCCTCGCTGGTGAAGGTGGAGGCTCAGGTGGGGTGGGGAATTGTGTAAGCATGAGAGTTCAGGTCTCACAAAGTTGAAACAAGCAAATAACCTGCAGTGTGTTACCCCTTCCATTTACTCTCTCTGGTGTCACAACTACATTTCTTGAAGGAGTAGGCGGTTCTCACTGTCTTCACATCCTCGTGGCCCTTTTGCTCCCCAACATCTGCCTTTGCTTCTCATCACTCTTTGGAAACTGCTCTCTCCAAGGTCACCAGTGAACTCCAGGGAAGAAACTTCGGAGGTGCCTTCTTCTCAGGCTCCTCTTCTTTGATGTGATTCTCTCCACCCCACTCTACCCACCTCCCACGCCCTGTCCTTCCTTGACCTTTGTGAGGTTTTCTTTAACCCGTTTCTTTTGCTGAACTATGTCCTTAATTTCAGGTTTCAGATTTTATCATAATTTCCTGAAAGATGTTTGTCCTAACAGTCAATCCTATTTCTAGCTGAGACCTAAGTATCTTCTACTGCCCTATTGGCAGTTCAAACTCAGTCTGGAGTAATCAAACTCAGTCTGGAGTAATCAAACTTCTCTTCCTCTTCCTCACCCTCTTCTGCAATCCACTACTCTTGACTGCCATATTTCTGTCCTTGGACCCACTATTCTGCCTGTCATCCAACTTGAAATCTCAGTCATATATTGTCTTTTTCCTGTTTTACTCCTGTCTTCAAAAGAGTTTCTTACTGTCAAAGATAAGCCCAAACTCCTTAACCCAATATCCAAGACCCCCCATAACCCAATTATATTTTCTGTGTTCCATCTCCTTACTTTCTCCTTGTTCTTCACAGGAGCCAAATGGAATTGCTTGTGGTTTCCCAAACACACCCCACACAGTCACACCTCTCTTTCACTTCCCTTTGCCAGGAATGCTATCTGTTTCTGCCTGTCAAAGTCAAGCCTGTTCCTAAGATCTGGTTCAAAATGTCACAGTCCTGTCTTCTGGAGTAGCTTAAAATTTAATGAAGAGTTTACAGTCAACTATGAACATTGTGTAAATAAAAAAGGATGCAAAGATAGCAGCAATAAAGATAAATGCATGAAATAATCGAAGAAATTCAGATCTATCATTTACAGTATTCAAAATGAATAAGGTAAAGTCCTTTTTTAAAAAAAATGTTTATTACATCCAGTTTTGCATTAAGATAATATTTAGAGTGTGCATATTATGTGAACAAGGTACTCATTAGAATTAAAAAATTAATTTTAAAAATTAAATAAAATTAATTAACAAAATTCCACAAACTTTTATCTTACTAAAATATTCCTCAGGGAGTTTGAAGAAAAAAAAGACAAATTGAAAGACAAGCAATGGTTCAAGCTGTGTTTTGAATTAATAAATACTTTTTTAAAGTCTGTGATCCTAAAATGTGATTTCGCAATAAAAAAATTTTGACAAGAGCAGTAAGTAGT